CCTGTTCCAAACTTACCTTCTAACTGTGCCAAGGATGAGGCTGTGGTCCAGCATGATCTGCTGGTACATGCCATGAAAGTGACCGTTTCAACAGGACCGTGGTTGCTTTCCATGTTTCGTGGCAAGAGGTGTTCTCTTGGCTTGTGTGAATGCTTTTGGAGAGAGTGAGTGTATGGAAGGAGAAGGGCCCAGGTTAAACAAGGCTGGTGCCTTCCAGCAGCCTGGGATTGTGTGAGCAACCCCTTATACTTCCTCCAATTACCTTAAAACATTTTTGTGTTGAAAGTGTTGGTCACTCAGTCGTGTCAGTCTCTTTGTGACCCCATGGACTGTAGTCCTCCAGACTCCTCTGTCCATGGGATTCTCCAGGCAGGAATACTGGAGTGGATTCCCTTGCCCTCCTCCAGGGGATCTTCCCAGTTGAACCCAGGTCTCCTGCATTGCAGGCGGATTCTTGTACCATCTGAGCCAGCTGGCAAGCTTTGTGGAATGGGCCATGGGTTGTTTGGTTAATCTTTCCATCTTGTATCAATGGCAGTTGGTCCCTGACTCCTTGTCCATGCATGACTCTTTGCTGAATGTTGTGTCCGATTGTCGTGAGGCTGGCACTAGTGATTTGCATGGAGCAGTGGTCACCAATGCTGGCCTTAGACCCAGGACTGTTGACCTGACCTTACAGAAGTAACTGCATGTGTCTGTCCCTGCCAAACCTTAGGATCCTGACGGTGCCATTAGATTGCCTTGTCAACTTCCTATTCTGAGCCTCAGTTTTGTCATCTATAAAATGAAGTTGTTGAACTAGCTGATCTCCAGTGTCTCCCACCTTGGATATGAGCTCCCTGGGGAAGAGGAGTACTAAAGAATCCAGCGACTGCCTAAGGTCATCTCCCATACATTCCTAGCTCCAGTCTGATCTGGACCTGATCCAGCCTCACTGTTGTTGGGTTTCTCAGTCTTTTCCTTCTCTTTTGTGACCCTGTGGACTGTAGCCCGCCAGGCTCCTCTCTGTCCATGGGATTCTCCAGGCAAGAATACTGGAGTGGGTTGTCATTTCCTTCTGCAGGGGATTTTCCGGACCTAGGGATCGTATCCACATCTCCTGCATTGATAAATGGATTCTTTATCACTGAGCCACCAGAGAAGTCCCCCAGCCTCCTTAGGCTTATAACTAAATGGCCTGCGGTACCTGACAGGTGAGGTTTTTGTGCAGGTATATGCCGAGATTATCTGAGCCCTAAGTGAACAAGCATGTTGTTGAGCCTCTCCTGTATGCTGGGCATAGAGTAAATAAAGTGTGCTCATCATCCTGGAAGGTGGATGATATACGTGTTGCACAGATAAGGAAACAGATTCAGAGCGATTCAGCAGCTTCCCCAAGCCAAGCATAAAGTTGGGAAGCAAACCTGGTCTCGCTAACTAAAGCCTTTCCCATTTATGGCATCACTCTGCTATGCTCGGCCACATTTGTCTGTGGCTCTGAGTCCCTTTGGAGGGACCGAGGGTGTAGAGATGGGGGAGGTCTGAGGTGTTGAGCCTGGCTCTAAACACCTTGGAGGATAGGAAAGTTTTGAGACTTGTCTCCTGCCTATGGGTTTTGGAGTCCAGGTGAGTGCAGACTGGTAGGACCAGTAAAAGACCAGGGGGTCTTTAGGGCCTTCGTAAGATTTGAAGGAAAGTGGAGTGAGGAAATAGAGGGATCTGAAGGATGGATGCCCTTTAGTTAAGGAATGAGGAAGGGGCGGGCTGTGGGGCAGCACCAGCGGCTGCCAAGCAGCGGGTCTCTGTGGGTCTTTGTTGGGGACCTAGGGTCAGTGGGCTGGGGCAGGACCTGATGCAGTTGGAGCACACAGCGGGTAGGTGGGCGCTGGAAACTCTGTCGTCTCCACATGTGACCGGCCAGCCTGCTAAGCTCATGCTTTCTGTCACTGAAACTTTGCCGTCATCCTAAACAGGCACTGAGGGAAGGGCCTGGCTACTGGAAGATGCATGGCAGCACCTGACCCATCCCTGGGGCTAACGAGGCTGCCCAGCTGTGGCTCCTTCTTCCCCACAGCCAGATGAATGGCACGGATGGCTGAATCAGGGTTTCCTGGGTCTTACCCAGCTCTGCTCCAAACTTTCATGAGCCCTTTCTGGGGCCTCAGTTTCCATGTCTGCAAAAGGGGACAGACAGAGGGCACATTATTTGCTGGGGTGTCTAGGGTCAAGTAAGAACCAAGGAGAGCATGCAGGTTAGCCTCCCAGCAAAGGGTCTGTGATCTGGCAGACGGGGGCCCACCACCTAACCCATTACGGCTTTGACCTTGGCTTGCTTTCTAAGGGATGATGGCCCAGGACAGGATGGGACCTGTATTGTAGCCTCTAGAACCTAATAGATGAGAAGCAAAAGAAGAGAGTCATGTAGCCCAGAGACGGCTGGAAACCAGGGTCTGAGCTGGGAATGAGGGAAAGATCACCATACTTACTCCCTTCTGCTTCCTGAAGCAGGAAACTTTGTGCTGAGAACTTTCTATTTTAGGGGGCCTCTGGGGAAGTCTGGCCAGAAAGGAGCCATTGGAGGAAGGATTTAAAATTAGCCGGGGTGAGATGGGTGGCCCCTGGGGAGGACTGAGGCAGAGGTTTCCGCTGCGAGGCAGCTCTGGTTCTGTGTCTTTGACCCGAAGTATGTCCCATCATCCTGGGAGGAGGGGACGGGGCCCCGACTGGCTTGTGCACTTTGAGTCCATTCTCTGGGGTAGGCTGGGCTTCCAGTCTGGCACCCCAGAGCAAGCATCATCTCTACCAGTCTGGCTGAGCAGTTGGGATGGAGACCTGGGTTTTGAGTCCTTCTGCCTTTAAAAAAACAAGCTGCGTGACCTGAGAGAGACATTTCTGTTTGGGGGTTTACATGTAAATGAGAGGTCTTTCATCACAGGGCAGAGGGGTGTCGCGGACAGCTGCCCTCTGGAGCCCAGGAGCTCGATCGAACCCTCCTGGAGCCTGGGCTGTCTGGTCTCTCCCAGATGTTTCTGGGACAGGGCGGTGCTCAGGAGCTGTGTGCGCAGGGACACAGCGGCCAAGGGCTGTGAGGCATAGGGAAGCCTCAGCCCCCAGCCCAGGAGCAGAAGTGTGTGTGGCGAGGGAAGGCATCACTGAGGGGGACGGGGGTGTCCAAACTGGCAGGGGATTCTGCTGGAGTTCTGCTTCTTGGCGGAAACTCATGTGAGAGAAGAAGCTGTCCTTAACCCGTTCTATGAGCTGCGGGCTTGGAGCCATTCCTGTGGGGTTACGAGCAGCGGTGGGGCTGGTTTCCTTTGCCATTCCTGTCTGTTGTTGACATGTGCGTCATTGGAGAGAGAGAATGTGTGTGTTGGGTGTAACTTTGCCTGACTGCTCTGGGCTCCTGGTTTACGCCATTGTCTCCAGAAAGGCTACACAGGCCTTCATCAGAGCAAGGAAGTTCTTTGGTGCCTTTGGAGGGGGCTGTGGCACATTAAAGGCTTTCAAGAATAAACCACGTAACGGGTAGGCTGAGGCATGTGAAAGTGTTAGTCGCTCAGCTGTGTCCTACTCTTTGCAACCCCATGGACTGTAGCCTGACAGGCTTCTCTGTCTGTGGGATTTCCCAGGCAAGAATACTGGAGCGGGTTGCCATTTCCTTCTCCAGAGGATCTTCCTGACCCAGGGATCAAACTCAGGTCTCAGACCTGCATTGCAGGCAGATTCTTTTTTTTTTTTTTTTTTGCAGGCAGATCCTTTACCATCTGAGCCATCAGGCATGTGAACTTGTTCTTAGTTGTCAGTGATGAGTTGAAGACTTACTTTTGGCTTCATGGTATGAGATGCGACTTGCAACAGGAGTTGAGGGAATTCCCTGGCAGTCCAACAGTTAGAACTCCTGAGATTTCACTACTGAGGGCAAGGGTTCCATCCCTGGTCAGGAAACTAAGGTCCTGAAAGCTATGCAACCAAAAACAAAACAGGAGTCAAGAGTATTGGGAAGCTCTCCTCTTTTCGGATTTTTCATTACTCAGGAAAGCACAGTTTTAAGATATTTTTAATGGATCTACACTCTGGAAAATCTCCTTCCCTTGTAATAATTATTGGCTGATCTGATCTTGCTGGCTGCATTTAGCCAGCAGAGGTGAATTAAGAAGGTTTTCCCGCCAGTCCTCTCCTGGACTTCACCCACTGTCCAGGAGGTCAGGTTTGCCAAACCTGAGTCACAAGATGGGCACCTGGTGTTGAGACCCAGCTTCACCTACAGCTTGTAACTTTGTTGAGGGCAAGGCTTGAAACTTATACCATCCTCTGCCTCACTAGAAGCTGGCAAGATCCTACTCATTCTTCAAAGCCCAGCATCTTGTTCCATCTCTGACTCCTTCCCTAAGTTCCTTATCCAGTAAACATTTAGTACCAGCACCCTACAGAGAGCTGGGCAGAGAAGCAAGAACACAACACATACCCGGCCACTGAAGAGCCTACATCTGGCTTAGAAAGCAGGAAGAGATGGATGTGAAAATGCTGGGCCCTCTGATGAAATCACTCCAGGGGGTGGAGTTTACTTCTTTGCCTCCCCATCAAACCAGACAGAGGCTCTCTCCCCCAGGGGTCCGTGGCATCTTCTGAAAAATATGTATGTTTCTACCTGTGCTTTTCTTGGAGGTCAGAGACCATAGCTTTCTTCAAGGCTCAGAGGGGTCCTTGGTCTGTGCTCTTGTTAAACAGGGCTCTCCTTGGGGCTGTTTGGCAGTGGACAGCCTGCACAGACGTGCTTGGCTTGTGCTTGTTGTGATACCTGCAGGATGAATCCAGAGAGAGGGGGCGGTCCAGAAAGGATTCTGAAAGATTAAATGCTGTCAAACTCTGGGTGCTCGTTTGCCTCAGCCTCTAAAGGAGGCTCAGGAAATCCTGAATTCTTCCTTCAGCCTTGGAAGGATTCCAGTTCGTTTCCTGAAGGAGGAGGCGTCATCCTTGTTCTCCTGTAAGCCTGGTCCTCACCACCGTGGTCTCTTCCCCAGGTCCGGACACTGTTCGTCAGTGGGCTCCCTGTGGATATTAAACCCAGAGAACTCTACCTGCTCTTCAGGCCGTTCAAAGTGAGTCTGGACCCAGCCACCCATGGGCAGAGCTTTGGATGGAGGAGAGGCATCAGGAATGAGTCCAGACCTGAGCTGGGCAGCAGGAGAACCATTAGAAACTGTGATCGCAGACCTGGCTCTCTGCCCTGGTTCGGCTGACTCACATGTGGCTTGTTGTCATTTGCTGAGCCCCTCTGAGCCTCTGTTTTCTCATCTGTAAAGTGGAGACAGTAGAACCTCAGTAGACTTTGCCATATAAGGAATCTTTGAGATTCAGCGTGGCATTTTCCATTTGCGGATAAGAAAACTTAAAGAGGGGAGGTCTGAGCTTCCAGATGACAGGCTAATGGAGCAAAGGGGAATTCCTGCATGAAAGGATGAATGCAGCCACATGATGCCCACCCCTTGTGCTAGGCTGTGTGATGAGGGCTGAGGGCGCTCAGCAGGAGGTGGAGGTCTGGGTGGGTCACCTTTAGGCAGGAGAAGAGAGTGAGCTGGGGAAAGGTGGGGCTGCAGGGTGGCTGGGGTAGCACAACTGAGGTGTCTGACCTTCCCTTTTAATGATCACCTCTCTCTGCAGGGGTATGAAGGGTCCCTGATCAAGCTCACATCAAGACAGGTAATTTCTCTCCAAGATTTTTCTTCATCCCAGCCCTGACCGGCTGCTGAGCTTGGACCTAAGCCAGTTCTCTTGTCCTCAGTCTTGAAGCATCTAGCAGCTGATACCTACCCCCTGTCATCCTGGTCCTGTCCTGGGCTGATGAAAAAGTAGCCTCCTTTGTAAAAGGATGAAAAAGTAGACAGGTTCCCTCTCCTTACCGGTCAGCTCCTGGTCCCCACTCTCTGGCCCTTGAGAAACTATAGTGGGGCTGGAGGCTGAGGACCATGGAGGTGGTGGCTGTGCCCTGGCTTCTAGTGCCAGGAGTTCTGGGGCCCAGAGTCTTTAGGGGCCGTTTGTGGTCTGGACTGAACCTGGCAGAATGAAGTTGGAAAAGTTTTGAACCTGTTGCCCCTTGATTGAACCTGGATCCTTCCCATGCCCTTGATAGATCAGTGTTCCCTTCCTTGCTGGGCGAAACACTAGCACTTAATTACCTGCCTGCATTAAACAACAACAGCAAAAGAGCGGGTGACGTTTCATGCAGTGGGGTAACGCTCTATTGGCATCATTTCCCAGAAAGTGGTACCTGGGTGGGAGAGTTTTGGTGCCCAAGAACCTTTCACTGTTCTTCCTATTGAACATCAGGAGGATATGGACAAGATTTATATATATATATATATATATTTGTTTTGTATGCTTGAGGGGGAGATGGAGTGTTGGGAGAGATGCAAGGGTATTCTCTCTTTTTCCTACTAGCCTGTTGGTTTTGTGATCTTTGACAGCCGGGCAGGAGCAGAAGCAGCCAAGAACGCATTGAATGTGAGTAGATGGAGAACAGGCCTTTCTCCAACCCACAGACTTCTAGACAGCGGGATTTCTGTTGTGTCTTCCGCAAACCTTCTTCCACTCCACACCTAAGGAAAGGGCCCGCAGATGTATCTTCCCCAGCTTTCCTGGGGCAGAAAATGGCTTTACCATCTGTGCCAAACGCCACTCCTCACAAGGCCCAACCAGCGTGTCCTCTGTCTTGGCCTGTGTGGCTGAGTCTTTCAGGATAGATTATGGGGGCTGCAGTGGACAGTCTGGGTCCCACAGAGTAAAGCCTCTCCCTTCCTCCTCTTCTCACAGGGTATTCGCTTTGATCCTGAGAACCCTCAGACCCTGAGGCTAGAGTTTGCCAAAGCCAACACCAAGATGGCCAAGAACAAGCTAATGGCTACACCAAATCCCACCAATGCTCACCCCGCCCTTGGAGCACACTTCATCGCACGGGACCCCTGTGAGTGGCACTCAGCGGCTGTCTGCTGCCTTCTACCTGGCAGAGCTGGGGGCCCTTGTGGATGAAGTTGCATGCAGAAGGCACCCCTGAGGGAGTGGATGCTCGCCCCCTTTTCCAGGAGCTTCTTGCACCCACCGTTACCCATGCCCGCGGGTTCCAGGCTTCCTTCCACCCCCACAGCCTTTGCTGCACCTTACCCTGAGCTCCTGAGCTGTTGGTTCTGCCCAGCTTCCTTGCATCCTGCTCTGATCCTCTTGGTTGAGACGAGCCCATCCGAGGGCTTCTTGAAGCAGACAGGCTTCCTGAAGCCTGGCCAAGTTACTATGGTTTCTTTCCTAGAATCTAGGGGTCCTTCGGGGGAGCTGAGAAGGGACCTCATGTTCAACAATAGCGTTGGGTACCATTCTCTGCTCGGAATGGGGTGGTGCAAGGGGGAGCCAGCATTCTGATGATGGTGGCTCTTGTCTCCGCTGCAGATGACCTGATGGGGGCTGCTCTGATCCCCGCATCCCCAGAGGCCTGGGCCCCCTACCCTCTGTACACTACGGAGCTGACCCCAGCCATCTCACATACTGCGTTCACCTACCCAGCCGCCACCGCTGCTGCTGCCGCCCTGCATGCTCAGGTAAGCCTGGACGGGACAAGCAGGATGGGGGAGAAGGAAGGCTCTGAGCTGGCCAGGCTCCATTCCTACCTTGCCATGGACCGCCCAGCTCCCTAGAGCTGTCACAGCACTGCTGCTTGCTTGACAGGACCTTTGGGGTTTGGGATGTGACGGGGGAGGAGGGGATAAGCTGTGAGGCCACGTTCAAGCTACGCTGCTAACACGGAGTGTGAGAGAGCCGCCACGGGTCCACTAGACACCTGCGGGCAGGCTATGCCCATTGTGCCTGTGGTGATGGAGTGTGGTCCCCGGGCCCGGAACACTCGCCTCTGCCTCCTCCTGTTTTCATGAACTCTGGAAAGCTCTGAAAGATTTGTCTGGATGTTTTTGTTTCTTCTTACTCATCTGGAAATTAAGATTAGTATTATCTGCCTCAGGTGTTGTGAAAATTAAATGTTAAGACGTGTGAGGGGCTAGAATTGCACCTGGAACCTCCGAGGTGCCCGTTGGTCGTTTGCTCTTGTGTTCACAGAGCCTGGACACTCTCCAGGCTGGGCGGAAGATGCAGCCAGCGCTTCTGGGGGTGGGGTCACAGCTGGGCTGGGTGGGCTCTATATTTGCCCAGTGCCACGCCGGGGACCACGCCAGGTGGTCAGCCCTCAGCCGTGCCTCAGTGCTGCAGAGGCAGGAGAGCTGGGGCGTGTGGTGAGCGCACCTGGGCCGCTCATCAGCAAGGTGAGCGAGCTGAGGCTCGGGAAGAGCAGCTTGGCTGTTGAGAGGTGGGGAACACAGGTCACTTGACCGGGTCAGTGGAAGGAGACGAGCAGTTCAAGGATATGAGAATCCAGGACGGAGGGTTTGCAGAAACTGGAAGCTGAAATGGGAGGATTTGGGGGGTCTGCTTGCAGGAGGGCCAAGTGTGTGTCCCATCCCGGGCCTTTGAAGGATTCACCAAGCCCCAAGGTGGAGGGCTCAGATTCCCTGGCTGCTACCCTCACAAAGAGTCCCTAGGCCACGGCTGCTTGGGTTGAACGAGGGCAGACATGTGGTTGCCCTTGGCAGTCTCCCCAGCTGTGTACCACAGACACTGGAAAATTGATCTAGGCAGGGAGGTGGCAAGGCTCTTCCTCTCCTGAGCACTGTTTGGGGATTGACCACAGACCAGCACTGTGGTGGGCACAGAGCCGTGAGTGAAGACAGTCCTCTGTGACCTGGCGGAGTGCAGAAGGTGGATGGTGCTCCCCACCAAGCAGTGGGGTCGGGGGGGGGGTGTTAACTGCAGGGGCCCCAGGAGACCTCTGATCCCAGCTTTGCCACTAGTTGGCCACCTGATCTTTGGCAGGTGACTTCAACTCTGGGCTTCCATGTGGTCCTCAATCTGTAAAACGAGAGGGCAGGACCAGATTGGGTGGAGAGCTTCTACCCCTATCCGCTCTGAGATGCTAGGCCATGACCACATGAGGCAGAGTCTGGGAGCCAGGACAGTCAGAATGTCTGATTATTCAGGAGCGACACCGCTGCGCTTTTCAGGGTGGTGCCCCCAGCTGGCTGGGAGTGGTGTGCCGTTCCCTGTTCCTAAGCTTCTGTGCAGCAGAACTGTGTGCCCGCCTCCCGTCTGCCTTTCCAGCCTGCTCCCTCCCTCCCCATACCCCGTGGCTGCCTCCGTCTAAGCCCTGTCTCTCTTTCAACACCTCTGTGACCTTGTGCAATTTTCTTGACCTCTCTGTGTCTTCATTTCTTTGTGAAATGATAGTCTTAGCTGCTTTATAGGATGGTTGGTAGCCTGTAAGCATAGAGGGAGTGCTGATGGTTATTTAACATTCCTGGTGGCTCAGGTGGTAGAGAATCTGCCTGCAATGCAGGAGACCTTGGTTCGATCCCTGGGCCAGGAAGATTCCCTGGAGAAGGGAATGGCTACCCACTCCAGTATTCTTGCCTAGAGAATTCCATGAACAGAGGAACCTGGTGGGCCACAGTCCATGGGGTGACAAAGAGCTGGACATGACTGAGCAACTCAGCACACATTTAATGTCATTACTGTCTGATTCCCCCAGTCACCTCTGAGGCTAGAGGACTCGTTGGGCCTGAGTTCCTGTCACCTTGGCCTCCCTGGGAGTGGGGTGAAGGCCACCTCTCAGGATGGTGGCTTTTTTCAGGAGGCAGCCTGAAGTGATTGGATCAGGTGGTGACTAGTCCAGGTCCCGCTACCTGAGTTCTCTGCACAGCCGTGTCCTTGACAGTAACACACACTGTCAGGACCAAATGCAGTAAAAGACCTGAAAGCATTTTCTTCCTTCCTTCCCCGCTCCTTTCCTGGCTGCATTGGGTCTGCATTGCAGTACACGGGGTCTCTAGAGCCCTTGGGCTGGCCCCGTGGTTTGTGGCTTGTGGGCTTAGTTCCCCCACAGCATGTCAGATCTTAGTTCCCCAGTCAGGGATCGAACCCATGTCCCGTGCATCGGGAGGCGGATTCTTAACCACTGGACCACCAGGGAAGTTCCTAAAAGCATTTTCTAAGTAGTAGCACTTTCTCTTTAACTTCCAAGAGCCCCATCCCTGCCCCCGCTCCCCCGATGGTGCTGCCCCAGAGGTGGAGGTTGCAAATGCCTACATGAAGGAAGTGGACACTAAGGAGGTTATTCTGAACTCAGAGGATCAGTAGCCTGCATTTTTCTTTCCTGAGGGTAAGGAGGTGATTTGGAGAGGTGGCAGCAGCCAGTAGACAAAAGGGGATGAACACTGGTCGCTCCATTCTTACCCCAACATGTACATCCTGACCTCCTGCCCTCTGCCAGCAGCTCAGCCTGAGCAAAACTGAATGGGGTCCTCGTGTAGTTGTGAGGACAAGACCTGCAGGAAGAAAGAGGACGAGCTAGATGGTTCAGGCCTGAATCTGTATTGGCATGAGTGAGGCTGTCTTGTTGGACCTTCTGATCATCTTGATAGAAACATCTCCTTTCAGAGGGTTTGGGTGGCAGGCGCATGCTAGCGTCGGGCACATGAAGATGTTGGCCTAGAAGCAGGGTTCTGCATGTCCCCGTGCATACCAGGGCCCTCCCAACCTGGGCTTCTTTTTCCACTTCAGCCTGAGGATATGGATCTTTCACTGTGGCCCTTCTCCCCAACCCCCTTATACTGGCTCAGCCCCTTACTGATGAGTTACACAAACCCCCCTGCCTCTCTTTTCTTATCTGTATAATGGAGATGATAATAGCATCAACTTCAGAGGGCTTTTCTGAGGATTAAATGCACTTAGTGTGTGAAAAGCTCTAAGAACAGCATCTGGCATGTGCCAGGTGCCTAAGCATTAAGCTGTTAGAGGTCTGCATTCATGAGGAGAAATAGATAGGACTTTTTCTCTTTTCCCTTTGCTGCTCCCCAAAATATCAGCACTTTTAGTCCTTAGACTTGGTTGGACATAGGAGTGTAAGTAAATCCATGGGTATGAACCTTTCACACAAATTAACATGTTTAATCGTTTTAGAACTAAAATATCCGGACATGCTTCCATGTCAGTAGATCTACAATCTGGCTGTCCTGCCATCATGTAAGTGTGTCTATCTCACTGTAGATGGCAGGCAACTGAGGCTGAGGCTGTTTACACTTTTTCTCTTTGCACTGATAGGCTGTGCTGCCATGGACGCCCTTGTTCACACCTCTCTGGGCACCTGTCCTGCTTGTTTTCCTTATCATAAATTTTCTAGAACTATCACAAGGTCAAAGTGTAGACCTGCCGGTCTGGATTAAGTAAGACTGAGTACTGTTGAATTTGACTGCATCACGTGGCATGCGGGATCTTAGCTCCCCAACCAGGGATCGAACCCATGCCCCCTGCAGAGGGAGCTTGGAGTCTTAACCACTGGACCACCAGGGAAGTCCCAAAATTGACTTTGTGATGAGCGAGGCTCCTGTATCTGTTGGCTGTTCCTGTTTCTTCTCATGTGGATTCATCCATTCGCCCACCTTTTGGTGTATCTTCTCCGTCAGTCCCAGGTTTGGGGGGGGACTGAGTGTGCGCCCCCAATTCCTTTGTTTGGTTGCTGCTCCTCTTGGAGCTGTAGGCATTCTGGATGCCCATGGCCTGTCCCTGTGGGATGGCCACTTAGGACTCCCAAGCCCCCTCTGAATGACTGGAGGCCATGAGAGGGGACCGGCCACTCGCTCCCTGCTGAGCTGGCCGTGACCCCTGAGCCTGAGCTGGGGCTGGAATGGACTATGCTTATTGAGGGACCTGGACCACCAGCCTCTCGCAGGCATCTGAGAAAAGTGGAAGCACAGTGCTTCAAGGACATTCTGTCCACTTCAGTGGCACGGCCATCCTGAGCTCAGAAATGAGGGCTTTCCTCTACTTCCTCCCCAAGGAGGCAGCGGCTATCTCAGGCTCTGGAGTGCAGGGCGCAGCACCTAGTGAAGAGGGATGGGCCGGATGAGGCAGGCTTGCTTCGGGGGCCCCTCAGCAGCCGCTGTGGGAGGAGGCTGGGTTGGAGGCCTCCAGGGTCCCTCCTACTCTCATCTGACGCTCTCCCAGCTCCAGCCCTGCAGGGCACTCGCCGGCCTTGCGCTTCCTTGATGAGGGGCTGCTCCAGCAGCAGGCTGGGTGAAGGGCGGTGGTCTGGGCCCACTCGGGCTTCCCCGAGCTGGACTGGCTGCAGGCTCCTCCCGTGGCAGCGGTACTGGTTTCCTCGTCGCCCTTCTCTTGGGGAATGAGCTCTGGCGGCCAGCTGGGCTTCCGGCTGGGAGGGCAGCGGCAGCCCACAGCTTAGCCAAGGGGAGGAGAGGCTTCCTCCCACTCAGCTGTCAGCCAGGAGGGGAGGGAAGTGCTTCCAGATGTTTAAAAGACAGGAGAGAAAATAGGTGGCCTCTGAGACTGGATGCCTCCACGAGGCTCTTGACCCTGTCCATGTGATGTGGGTCCTAATCCAGGTGGTCCTGGCAGGTTGGGGTCAGCTGTGTGCTGGCAGCAGCGGTGCCCCATCCTTGGAGCCCAGAGTGTCCTTCTGGCCTTGGGCAGGTGGCCTGGGACCCAGTTGTGCCATGTGCCGAGTGTCCTGGCACCTCAGAGGAACCAGCGCCAACTTCCTACAGAGCACGGGGTGGTCCTGAGCTGTACAAAACCACACCTGGGATTCTGAGGGGGCACAGGAAAGCAAGTTCTCAGCCACCAGGTAGCCTTGCGTTGCTTGATGTCTTCTCTGCTTACGGCGGCAGGGACTTCGGCAGCCAAGTGGGTGCTGGGTCCGACTGTCCAGTTTCATGAAGATTGTCTCTGTGCCCAGCTGCTACTTGGTTTCCTCCCCAAGGGCTCTCCTGAGCCATCCCTCTTTTTCCTAAGAGAAGCCTGGCTCCCTTCTCTGAGCTCTCCTCCCCCAACCCCTGACTCGGGGCCCTGGGATGCCCTGCCCCCACCCTCCTAGGCAGCCAGGGGCTGTCTGTGTCGCAAGGGGCAGGCAGCCTCCTCGCGATCTTGGCTTGGCCCCCAGCACAGCTCACGATCCAGACTCCCGGCCCTCGGAGAAGGGCGTATGTGTCGTTTCCTGGCCTGTCTCTTGGAATCCCGCTTTGGGGCCACTGCTCTGTGGGGCCTTCTGGCAAGTCCAGGTTTGAGGTTGCTGGCAGGCTCAGCTGGTAGGTTACAAATCACTAGAATTAGGAGTCTTGTAATGGAGCGGAATGGGCTTCCCTGGTGGCGCAGTGGTAAAGAACTCGCCTGCTGGTGCAGCAGATGTGGGTTCAATCCCAGGTGCGGAAGATCCCCTAGAGAAGGAAATGGCAGCCCACTCCAGCATTCTTGCCTGGGAAATCGCATAGACAGAGGGGCCTGGTGGGCTGTAGTCCATTGGGTCACAGGAGTTGGACACAACAGAGGGGCTAAACAACAGTAATGATGGAGGGGACAGGAGGGGTGGTGGATGGGTGTGGAAGCGTCAGCTGGGTCACGACTGTGACTCCCTTGACTCCTACAAGGACAGCAGTCACATCTGGGAGTCCTACCCCTTGGAGACCACACAGACTTTGGTTTCTAACGAGTTTTTATGTTCTGTCCTATCTGATCCTTGTGGACACCCTGTGACTTTGTTGCTGTTCAGTTGCTTGGTGGCATCCGACTCGTTGCAACCGCACGGACTGCAACACGCCAGGCTTCCCTGTCCTCCACTGTCTCCCTGAGTTTACTCAAGTTCAGTCACACCCTGGGGCTTAATCATGTCTGTTCTGGAGCTGTGAGGACACTGAGACTCAAGAAGTTGAGAGAAAACGTGTTCGGTCCCTTCCTTGATGTCAGGAGTCCCACACTCTCCTGGTTAAGGGGGATGGGCGTGCCCCCACCCCCCGCCGGCTGCCAGGACTCCTCCCACTGCTGCCAGACTCAGTGGAGGAGCGTGAGCACCTTTGTAACACCTTTGTAGCCGTCCTCTCATTTGAACCTCCATCCTGTAGAAGAGGCAGGTCAGAAGGCGCTCTCCCATTCTGGGGATGAGGAAACTGACACCCAGCGGTGAGTAACTGGCCTGACTCCACCATCAGAGACAGCGCCAGGACTCGGACGGGGGCACGGAAGGCCATGTTTCTCGGGCTCCCCCGTTGAGCGAAGGGACTGCTCGGCCAGCTCCTAACCTTGGCTTCTCTTACAGGTGCGCTGGTACCCTTCCTCTGATACCACCCAGCCAGGATGGAAATATCGGCAGTTCTGTTAGTTCTTCAGTAAGTGCTGGCTCTGAGACCGGGACAGAGAGCCTCCCAGAGCCCGGCCTCCTGCAGGGCCACGGCTCGTCTGCCCAAGTGCTGGGGGCTCGCTGGTGCTCACCCGACCTGAGCTTGCACTGGGGGCACTCTGGCTGGTTCGCCCCACTCCCCCAACCCTGCCACCCCCTACCCTCCACCTGGCAGCCTCCTTGCAAGGGGGTGGGCCTGGGTCCTGCTCCAGTCTCCCACCTCTGCTCACGTTCCCCTCTCTCCCCCCTCCCTCCAGGTCTTGTCACCACAGCTCGAGGCCCGGGGGGAGGAAGCCGCCCTTAGCGCCCCCTGTCCCCAGGTGGCCCTGCAGAGCTGCTGCTGCTGCCCTCCAAAGACTGTGAATTCTAAGCCTGACTCAGTGGACTGTTTTCCTTCCTGTCTTCCTCTTCAGCCCTGTCCTGTCCCCCAGCCCCACTCCAAGGCCTCACGGCTGGATTCAGGGGCCTTCTCGCTGGGACCCCCAGGCCCAGCGGGGAGGCCTCCCTGGGGACTAAGCAAGGCCCGGTCTCCAGTCCAAATCTGCTTCCGTAGCCCCACCTCAAAGACACGAGGCATTTAATTTTGCATGTTTTCTGGCATGAATTAAGACACTTAAACTTGTGTATATGTGAGTGTACAGTTTGTTCTCACATTGGGTCACCATGGTAACAAGGCCTGGCCACTAACAGCTCATCATTCCTGGTCCCTCTCCCCACACCCCTGCCCTGCACCCCCCCCCCCCCCGCCCCGGGCTTCAGTGAGGACCAAGCCCCGCAGCCAGTTCCGCTCGGCGGCTGGCACCGCCCCCCCCACCCCCCCACCCCACTCACTTCCAGGCTGAACAGGAAGGACCACCCAGCCAAGACAGAACATTTTCCTGGTCATTTCAAATCAGGGTCCTCTGTTTTCTCCTCCTCAGATGGGCCAACAACCATTAAGAAAATCCTTTCTCTACCCGTTTTGCTTCTCTCTCCCCGGCACACCCCACCCCTGCCATGGCTCCTCATTCTTTCCAAACTTTGAAACCAACCAAAAAAGTGAAAGTATTTTTGTACCCTGTATAACAAAATATTTATGCAACATAAAGGATTTTTTCGTGTGTGTGTGCAATTAATTATTGAAGAGACCTTGTCCGCCTTGTCAGATAAGTTTAACGTTTTCGTTTGAGGCATGAAGAAGAAAAGGGTTTCCGTTCTCCAGCAGTGAGCCTTAGCGTCAGCCATTAGTTTAAGAAAAATGAAGGAAAAATTGTGCAATTTTTTGTTTCATGAGCACATCAGTGCTTCGCCTTTGGCCGCAGCCGTGGCCGTCTTGCCGTTTTCAGACTTGGGAGACGAGGTGGCTGTTGTAATTGCTGAGCCTGTGAGAATGTGAAACTGGATAATATATGAAACGCAAAATAAAAGAAATCATCCAAAGTAACTGCTCTCTGACCTGTGCTTCCTTGGGTTGTAGATGGCCATCGCTGGGCGCAGCCAGAGGACAGGTGCTGGGGGCTCAAGGGGGAGGAGGCAAGGCAGGCCTGGGCCCCGGTTCACGTGGCCACTCCCTCCTGCCCTCTTGTGTGTGAGTCTGCAGAGGAAGTGACCTGCCAGGGGTCATGCAGCAGGGGCCTATGTGTCAGCCCAGCCTGTGTTTGATTAATTCATTCTTTGCTTTCTGGTCTGAGGATGGGGGCGGAGACTCCCTGCACCCAGGTTAAGCACCCAGATGGGACCTTCGTTGTTTGCGATGGTGTCTTTTCAGTCCTTGAGTAGAGGAGGACTGTGGCTTCAGAGCTTGGGCTCCTGTGGGAGTGTCCTCGGCGTGTGTCATGTCCCTGTGCTAGAGAAGCAGAGAACCCGGGAGTTGGGCCTGGAAGGGGTTAAGCCCTCTCAGCCTGCAGGCTCCCAGCTGCAGCTCCCATTCCTGAGCTGGGTTCTTGCTGGGTGTGGGTACAGAGGTCAGGGAAATGGTGAGGTGCTTAGACCCCGGGCTGCACTGGATCCTGTCAAGATGCCAGCAGCCGACCCTGATTCTTCCTTTTTGCAGTTTGGGGCCTCAGTTTCCTCATCTGTGAAGTGGTGGTTTGAAATTCTTTCCTTCCGGAGGGTGGGAACATTGACCTGCTGGTTGTTTGTCTTTAACGTCTCCGCCCCCTGCCTCTTCCGTCCACCCCCACGCCCTTCCCAGCCTGACTCAAAGCTGAGCCTGGAAGGGGAGGGCAGGAGAGTAGGCCCCAGAGCCCGCTGCCTGCTGGGCTTCCTTCCAGCCTTGCTCAAGTGAAGCCACAGTGGCTGTGGCTGGCCCTGGTCGCCTCCTCACCTGGACACCAAGGTGCCCATCTCCACTCCTGCCTCACCCGCTCTCCTCAATCCCAGGCCTGCACTGAGCAGCCCATATCTAAGCTGTCCTGATGAGTCTGTCTGCTGGGAAAGGCTCTCGGGTGACGTGCAGGCCCAGCTGGTACCTGCATGTGAAGGGAGGCTGCCCCCCAGGTCCTGTGAGGGAGGAGGAGCCTGGCCAGGCCCTGGCCCTCTAGGTAACTGGGTGGCGGGTGGATGGGTCATCTGGGCTCCAGAGGGAGGCTTTGGGAGGAGAGGAGGTTGGTGGCTGTGTTCACGCCAGCAAGAGGAAGGGGCTTGACGCTTCTCTTGCCTGGACCCCTCCTGCAGTGTTTGGACCGGCTCCACACTGGCCAAGCAAGCAAGGCCTTCCCAGCCTGGTGCCCCTCCTAGTGCTGGCTGGGGAAGCGGCGCAGAGGCCCACAGCCCCCACCCGGGGCCAGACCGATGCCTGACCCACTTCAGCTGTGGCAGGAGCCACCGGGTCTGCCTGAGGTAGTGAATTATTTAGCTGGGGCACCTGGGCCTTTCTGAGAGGGGCTAAGAAAGCTGCTTCATAATTTAAAGGCCCCTGTTCCTGCGGCTTCCCTGGGGGGCCTCCTTCACGCTTTGCTGAGCAGGGCCCGCGTCTGACAGGAGGGGGAGGCAGGCCCTGAGGCCATCCCAGGAGGGGCTCTCCAGCTGGACGGGGGCCTTTTTGAGGGTGAGGCCTTTGCAGACAGGCCTCAGTGGACAGTCACGTTTGGACCTAGCATGGAGGTGGCAGGTCTTACAGACAAGGACACAGTAAGCTGAGGTCAGCAGCGGCCAGGTCCTAACTCCCCATTTAGAAAGCACCTTCTTCCTTTCCAGCTGATCTGATTACTTGAAATACTTCTTTCCTTTCTGGAAGGATTTTAGGCCTTGGAATAACCAGGCCTCTTTTAATCAGAGGCGCCTTCCCATCAGCACTGAAATCTCCCACATGGCGGAAGAGGCCGCTTCATAAGTGCACATGCCTCCCATACTGCTTCACACGGACGAGGCTGGTGACAAGTGAAAGCTTGTTGAGGCCCTGGCCTGAAGCCAGCTCTGTACTTCCTGGGCTGGGGGCAAGGCCCGTCTCCCCACCTGGGTCACTGGGAGCTGCTACCGGGCCAGTGTTTTTAGGGATGTGGCTTCTTTTGGAGCCTTCACAGGTGAGCAGGTTCCCAAGCCCTGAGTTTCCAGGGGAGTCCGTGCAGGTAAATGTGGGAGGGCTCAGGCCCTCACCCTCACCCCTTCCCTCTGCTCCACCCATCACACCTGCGTTGCCTCATTTGCAGAGGTCCGAAATCCAGGCTTTCTGATCTCCAGGAGCTCCCTGACAGAACACAGATATCCCTGAGAAACAGGGCAAAGCATTCAGGGCGGGATTTAGGGAGCGTGGCCAGAAGGGGACCCTGGAAGGGAGCAAAGACTTTACCTCATAGTGTCAGGAGGAGAGCAAAAAGCTCTCTACCTGGCTGCATCCTCTCCCGCCTCTGTCCATCCACAGGGCCGCCACTGGGGCGGGCTGCCTCTGGGACAGCGGGCCCTCCTCCCTGAAGTTCTCCCTCAGGAAAGAAGAGGGGCCATAGAGCTGAGAGTGCGCCCTGTGAGGAGAGAGGCTGGGCGCTGCCCTGGCAGCGTTCCCAGAGCTGACCAGAAAGGGGCCTGAGCTCCTGTTTGCCCTGGACCTCCTGGCTTGTCATGCAGCCCACCCACACCCTCTGGGCAGCGTGGACAACATCCATGGGCCCCCTCACCCTCTGGCTTCTGGTTGGGCTGGGTGAGTGGGTGGGAGCCCCAGCAGGGGTCTGAAGGAGGTCAGTGAGTGAGGTCAGGTGCCCTTGGACCATTTTGTCTTGACCTTAGAACAGATCATCAGAAGGGCTCTGCCCCGTCAGAATCAGAATTCAGCATGGAGACTCTGATCCAGTCCCCTCTCCCATTTTACAGATGAGGAAATTGAAGCAGAGAGGTGACGAAATTTGCTCTAAGGTTTGGAAGACAGTGGCCAAGGTGTGCTCCGCCTGTGTCTCCTGATTCCCAGTCCGTTGCCCCACATGGCTGTCCCAGAACCACACACATGCTGTCTAACACCCGGGCAGAGAGGCAGCAGGTGCAGGATGGCCGTGGGCTTGGCAGCCTCCTCTGCACTTTTAGTGAGGATTAGAGCTGGTGTCTCCTACTTGCCACACTCCAGCCTGACCTTTCCCTGGATTCTTGTGTGCTGCTCCCTGATCAGGGGACAGAGAGAGGGCCCCCAGTGACTACTCTAGCTTCAGTCTAGCCCTGTGCAGTCTCTCTGGCTTTTTAACCTGGAGGACAGAGTCATTGGGTCTGCAAGACCCATCTGGGCATGCAAGAACCAAGACTCTGTCTCTGCACCACTGTGCATGGTAGAGAAAATTCAACTCAACCCAGTAGGAGTCTAAGAACTAAAGAATGGCTGTATAGTTCCATGAGAGCCCATCTTTCCTCTCTGAATGTCATTTCTTTGCAAATAAGTGCCCTTTTCTCACAGGGCTACTGTGGAAGTTAATGAAAGTGCAGGAAAGGTCCTCATACAGGGGAGGTAGTCCATAAATATTCACTGCAGTCATCTTTAAAGAACACAGGTTCCTCTTTCATCCTTAACCAGAAATGAAATTGAG